CTAACACTGTGGTTTCCACTCCCAATCCCCTAAGCTGGGTCACAAGGATACCATCAATGTTATCAAAGGTTGTTGAGAGATTAAGGATGGCCAGGATGGATGCGGTACCCTCACCCCAAGGCCCACAGAGGTCATCAATAAGCACAATCAATGCCCTTTCAGTATTATAACCAGGCCTGAATCCTGACTGAAAAGGGTGCAGATAACCTGCTTCTTCCAGAGCCATCTGGAGCTGTAAGTCAACCCCCTCCTCAACAATATCCCCTCAAAGGATTAGAGGGTTAGAGACCGGGTGAAAATTGTCCAGATCTGTTGGGTCCAGCGATGGTCCCTTAAGAAGGAGGCAGACGACCATCTCCCTCAAGGTGAAAGAAACCACCCCTTCCTTCAGAGATCCAACCACCTGTCACCTCCCCCGCAAGAAGAACTTAATCAGCCAATACACCAACTTGATGGCACATAATCAATCAATCAATTAATCAGTCAATCAATCATCTATCCATTTTGCTCTATAATGGTCACCCTTTGAAGACCCCAGTCTCTTGCACCTTTAGCTGGAGCCCAGTAGTCACTGTAGTCATATACCTAAATGAAGAAACTTGGTTGCAACTATCTCCAGATCTTTTGTTTTTTACTTAGTGGGCCTTTTCCCCACCCCATTTTCCCTGAGCTTGGTTGTCTTCCTGCAGGTGTTGCGTTACCAGGCTAGGTAACATCATCAGTGAGGAAGAGTGGGGTTTGCTGGCTGTTTAGGAGCTTGCTGGGCCAATCTTGGTAGGGTGGGGTTTCTTCCGTGATGGTTCCTTGATTAGGCTTTGGTTTCTTCTTCCCTATTTGTCCAGTACTTTTTCCTGCTTCTCCGGGCATTAGCTGCTAGGGAGAAGGCTCCCTGTGGGCTGTTTGTTTCCTGCCTTGAGTGGTGGGTGCATCTTTCAAATGGTAGGTGGATGGGGTTTATCTCCATGGGTCTGCTAATGGCTGATTTACCAGGAGCCAAGCTTCCAGGAATTGCCTAGCATTTTGGGATTAGGCTCAAGCTAAAATTCAACAGTTCCCAGTTGAAATTGTGGCTGAATTTGTCTATGTGTTGCGAGATTAAGGAATGTTCAGCTTCTCTTCTAACTGCCAGTTGATGTTTGTGGATGAGACCTCTCAATCTTCTACTTGTCTATTACGGTCCTTACCTTACCTGCAGTTGAATTTTGTTTTTTTCCCCCCTTTGGTTATTTGGATGTTTTTGGAGGGGTCTACTTTGTGTGCTGTGGTGATGCCAAGAGGTTGAGTGGACTGTTGGTTGCCTTAGAGATGTTTTTGATGGAGTTGTGATGCTTGCACTGCAAGAGGTTATGTAGCTAGACACTTCGTGGTGGAGATGCATTCACTGACTGTTATGTTGGAAGATGCTGTATAGGCGGCCTGTTTCCCCTTTCTGGCATTCCGGGTTACTGCAGTGTGCTGGTCTGCTGGATCCCTGCCCTTCCACCCAGTCTGACTCAGCAGACACGGGGGAAGCCCCTGGGGGACGGAGCCGCAGCTGAGCCAGCCGACCCCAGGGAAGGAGGGAAGAAAATGTCAGCCATAAATATCCTCCCATTTTGCGGAGAGCCAGGAAGGCTTGGCCCCATGGCATGGGGCTGGGGACTGGATTTGCTTCTGCTCCTGGACTGTGAGGGCCACCAGCACCAGAAACCCCGCCCACAAGGCCATAAAAGATAGAGCAGTAGTAGCACTGGAATAGATCTGAGGAGCAGGTCCGAAAGGGACATTGGGGCAGGAGCCAACTGCGCCTCTCCAGAATAAGGCATCCCTTCACTGGGGAAGCAGGGGAGGCGAAGGACCCGCCTTCTCCGCAGGACCGCCTGACTTCTCCACTGCTACTTGTGCGATTTACAAAACGTGAGCTAAATGGGTGCCTCTGGGCTTGAGCTGAAGGTCTCCAGGAAGGAATGCTGTGGGTCTCTGAATGCTTTAATCAGCAGAGGTAAGAGAAAGGACAGTAAAAATTTGGGGGCTGGGCGGGTGTGCTTTGGAAAGGAGATTGCAAGCAAACATCTCCTGCCATCTGTATTTCTCTCCCCCTCTCCCTCCATTTGTGTGTGTGTGTGTGCATAAACTGGTAATGAGGTCAGACAGGGAGGTAAGTCATGAAGAATATACGTCAGTGTTCCCAACCTGTTGATGACCTGCAGACATTGAACCCAGAAAATATCCCCCAAGTGGGTGCACGTTACGGCAAATTCAACCCATCTGGGGGCAGGACACCAACTTGTTGAGCTCTGGCAGCTATGAAAATGAACTCTGTATGGGTGTGCAGCTTCATCAAAGATATGCTGAGCTCTATCTGAATAATTCTTGTGTTTTTTCTTCCCAGTGAACAAAACAATCCAGAGATAACAGAAATATCCCCATGTTCAGCAACCACTCAGAATTCAGCT